GACAACATTTCAGGCCGGGAGCTTTTCATCCATTCAGGCCAAACAAGGTTCTAAATTTGGGTTTTTGTCATTGTATTTTGATGTTCTTTTAATAGTTTTAAGATTGACTGTCAAAACTTTTGTTTTCTTTATTTTTTTTAATATTGACTGTTTATATAATCTTGGACGTTTAAGGATTGTTGTACGTTGCTTAGCAACGTAACGTTTATGGAGTTTAGTGAGAATAAAGACACACACACACAATGAACTAAGTGTTCATTAGTGTATAACTATAACAAGCTAATCAATTATTGTTAAAAAAGTAGTAAGGTAAAATCCCATCGTTACAGCTCATATAAAAGGAAAAATAAAAACGTGTATGAACCATCAGTGCGAGAGACCACTCATTTCAACCGGGGAAGCTACACTGGGTGCACTGCTAGGCTGGGGAAGCTCACACTGGGTGCACTGCTAGGCTGCTAGTTTAATTTTGCTCTGGCCCAATGACGTAAAGCGTTGGCCAGTGTTGTGCAGTTCACAGCTTTTCTGAAACATGTTCAAGTTCATTCCTACATGCTCAAGTGAACAGTTCACGGTCGAAGTTCTCAATTTAATTCTGAACAAGTTCAAGATCATTCATGTTACTTTGTTGCCGGAGATATTCAAATAAATATTTTTTTTTCACTACGAGCTAGAAATCACAATACGCTGGTAATAACTATATAATTATATTATATATATATATCTATTATATCCTGTAACACTGCCAGATGTGTGACTCCAATAGATAGAGACAAGATTTACATGGGTTTCAATGGAACTGAGTTGTCCCTTCTCTGCTCATAATACAAACTGTAAGGCGCTGCAGAACGTGTGTCTAACTTTTATGTACAAATGTAAACAGCCCTTTGTCACTGACTTACCCCTGTGTTTTCGATCACGCACAATGGGATCCCAACAACCATTGAATAGCACTAGCAATAGAGAATCGCACGTGACTCACTAAGTATGCCTCGAACTCGCGGGGCATCCGCCATACTGGAGGAACAAGCAAACGCGTATGATAGTGGCGTGCACCCTGGACCACGCATAACCATGTTCACAAATGTTTATGCCGTTTTTTTGGCTGCACAAAAGGAGAGACAGGGAAAATAAGTGGTGTTACCGACTGCCAGCCGTCCATTACTTCACACGGCTCAAAACAGAAGAAATCTCAAAAGGAAACAGAGAGAAATGGCACAACCATAATCAACAACAAAAAACTAATAGCCCCCCAGAGCGGCCGCGAATATGCCGAGATCATTCATTTCTGCTAAGTGAATTCTCTTTGATGGCGGAATTAGGTTATTCCGAAACAAACAGAAGTTTAAGGATAAAACATATCTGTCTGACTGCAACAGTTGGGTTTGCTCCATAGACTGTATGCTATCTTGTCCGCATAGCTGTTTATATAGTTGGTCTCACACAGGACCTCACCCGGGTCACAGGGTATCTGACTTACCGTAAGGCCCGCAACATGTGAACACTGAGCCGAAGCTCCAGGTGCCCCGTACTAGTATTTATTAATACAAATATACGGCTCCTCACAGTAGACGCAGAAAGCTCCATTGATTTGAATGTAAATCTCATTATTTCCACTGCAGTGTAGCCACACATAATCCATGGTGTAACAATAAACACATTATATGTTAATCGGAGATTAATCTACTTATACATTCCTTAATACACGAGCACAGAGTTTCAGAATTTTCTGTTCACGTTTTCATGAAAAAACACTGTTTTAAATGCGACCGCAGTAAACCTGGATGTAACGAAAACATTAATATTACATTTTAGGATGCATTTTCAGAGATCTGATTCATGAACTTTAGTTGAGTATATTATTTGGGTTCACTAACTGCTGAAGTTGCGAATTCTCGTCAGTTTTTCATGTAGTTCGAGAGAGTTCTCGTTTTGGAACGCCAGTATAGATAGCCCCTAGCTTCCCAGAAATGTGTTCGAACAGTCAAAATATATGCACATCACCAGGTGCTACAGTGAACTGTGAATTATGAAAAAGCCTGCACACTTACTCCAAAAAGACTATTTATTGTGATAACGTTTCGATCCAAGTGGATCTTCCTCAGGTCAAGAGGGAGACCTGAGGAAGATCCACTTGGATCGAAACGTTATCACAATAAATACAGTCTTTTTGGAGTAAGTGTGCAGGCCTTTTCATCATTCCACTGGAAAATTTGTGAAACCAAATAAGAAATTTCACATCTAGTTTATGTACTACAGGTTTTGAGTTATAAATTAGTGTGAATAATTAATACAAATGATTGTTTGCCTAATTTTTGTTGTCTTGTTTGTAGAACTTACAGATGCAGACATCCTGGAGCTCAAGCTGATTGCCCCAGAAGCTGCTGTCCTGACCAGTTTTGAAAATAGTGACACAGACACAGCATCTGAGTGTGAGATAGAGGAGCATCGCCCTGAGCTGCCAGAACCACTGACCGCCTTGTATGACTCCTCCCTTGGGCAGCAGGTGTCACAGGACATCACAGAACGATGTGAGGAAGCCTTTCACAACATAAAAAGAAGCATCCACCCTGAGCAGTGTGAGAGACTTTCAGCCATTACAACACAACAAGCGGAATCACAATCCTGGCATTTACACAGAGCAGGCAGAATCACAAGCACAACATTTTACAGTGCATCAAAAGGTGATCATGTGGACAGAACAAACCTTAATTAAAATCATGCACTATAATGAACGCAACATCCAAGTTCCTGCTGTTATATGGGAAGAGAGAAAGAGAAAATTGCTCGTCAGTTTTACACGAACAAGCTCTGTAAAACTCATACAAATGTCAAAGTTAGTTTGAGCGGTTTTGTAATACGGCCTGATGAACCACACCTTGGCTCATCCCCAGATGGGAAAGTCTCATGTTTATGTTGTGGGGATAGGGTTTTGGAAATCAAGTGCCCATATCGGTACCGGAAGGCCTTCTGAATGCCCCTCTAAAAGAAGATTTCTGTCTTGACCAAAGATTCCAGCTAAAGAAGTCCCACCAGTACTATCACCAGGTTCAACTCCACATGTTTGTTTGTAATGTCGATTTTTGTGATTTTGTGGTTTGGACACCTAAGGAACTGATAATAAATAGGATCGCAAAAGATGAACAGCTCTTACAACAGGCTTTGCCTATGGCAAAACAATATTTCTTATCTAATGTTTTACCAGAACTATTAACCCGCAGCCAAGATCCTACACTTCAACCATTAAGATTTTGTAGCACCTGTAAAAAGCCAGAGTTTGGGAAAATGATTGACTGTATGGTGTGTAAAGACGTCTTTCATTATAGTTGTGTGAAAATTAAAAGAAAACCAAAGAACTGGTATTGCGCTCAGTGTAGATGAATTAACTCGCAATGGTCAGTCACATTAGGACAGAGTTAAACATGTTTTGTGATGTTCTGTTTTTATAAACATGCAGTTCAACATTCACATTTTAATGTAATCTTATTTATTGTCCACAATGAATGTGAGAAATGACATTTGGTCTGAAGTTTTCAGCTAATGAACATGTGGTTATAAATACAAAGACATGTAAATATAAATGAAAATATGTACATACGGAAATGTCACGTAAAATGTTTCGATGTCACAATAAAACTCATTTGCCTTTGACAAATATTTTGCAGAAATAAAAATGTCAGAAACCATTAAACTAGTTATCTCTTTACGCACTGTTCAATTAAGAAAACATTCAAACAATTTATAAAAACCTATGGATTTGAAATTGATTTCAAATTGATATTCACAATGTTTGTGCAAGCTTGCTCAAACTACAGGATACAGATGACTGCTTTTTAATCTTTAGTGGAGTAATCAGGTTGAACCCAATTTAGTTGTACAATTGTATAATCACAAAGCTTTTAGTAAATGTAGGAGGGCTTTTTTAACTTAAAACATTACACAATCTTTCATAGATGACACACTTTCTCTCGGCACAACAGATTTACAAAGATTAGTTAGAGCCCCACACACAGTTACCATGTCATCTAGCAGGTCAACATGGGAGATTGGAATCACAGAATGTAAAACTTTGAAGCTCTTCCATTTACTAATGACTCTTTCCACGTGAATGCGGACATGAGAAAGTTTTCTTGAACTATGTACCTCCCTAGCAGGAAGCTAGCTCTTTCCTTTAGTAAAACTTGGAATACGCAAAGTGGCACCATATGCAGCAAGCTCATCCCTTATTAAAAATCCTCGGTCAGCTAAAATGTAATCTCCTGGTTCCAAATGACTTAAAAACCCTGATTCAAGTGTTATTTGTTTGTCTGACACTCTGCCCCCCCAGCCAGTGGACAGAAAACTGCACCTGCAGGTGTTATTCCTACCAGATACTTAATGGTGTTTATTATGCTTATAATTTGACCATGTTTGCGCACGGGCTGTCAAATCAGAAGGTCTTTCAATAAATATTTCAGTACAGTCTATGATGCATCTACATCTTCTGAAATTCCGCCTGAAAGCTTTTGGCATGCTTTTGAGCGCAGCACCCTTACTTGGCCATTTAATAAGAGGTTTTAGCACAGATGCCATTACAGGAAACCAGAACCTTACAATTTTGGACACTTGGCTTTCAAAAATATTGAACCTGTAGGCGAGATCTCTGTTACTAAGGCCAAGTCTGAGTTTCATGAGCACCAATAGTAAATGATCCTCCAGCTCGAGACCGGGAACTTGCTGTAACACACTAGGTTTTAATTTGGTCATTATCCAACTAAAGATTATCCAGGTGAGCCCAGTCAGAAACAGCAGATATGCAGCATTACTTTTAACTGTGGCGAATGTGAAGTGTGATTGGTGGAGTTCTTCTTTCAGTTTTTGGTTTTCTTCTTTGAGTGTATAAAACTCTGTTCTTAACTTAAAATAGTCATTGTTCAGTTGTTCATATTTCTGACTCAGAGCATTGTATGTCTTCTGTGTGACCATTGGCTCGGGCTCAGTCTCTGCCTCTTCTTCCTCACGGTCATGTAGTAGTGGCACATGGTCCATGTCAGCAGACTCCTCATCAGGAACCAGAACCTCATTTGCTTGAAAAACACACGATGGGTGTCATTTGAAAGTACAACATGCATAAAACATTCTGTAAATAAATGGTTGCATGCTACTCACTGTAGCTATGGCCATTATGTTCCATTTTCAGGGCTTCTCTTCTTCTTTTTCTTGCAAGCCTAAGAGAAGAAAGCCATGATTACAGAGACTACAAAGACACAAAAAACAGAATTTATATATATATTTTTAAACTTACCTCTCGATTTTTTGCACTGGCACGCTAGCCTGCTGTTTATATGTAAAAACAGATGGGACGAAGTCTGGCCTTTCAGCATCCATAGATGCCTCTCCTAAAAAGATTAAAATACAAAAGACACTATAATAAAAGTCGTGATTTGTGTCCAAAGTAGGATTTTAGGATCTCTGGTATTGCTGGTTTGGTCCTAGCACCGACATTTAATTTGGTTGTTTTTTGTTTTTCGATCTAGTGTAGACTGGGAATAAATCGGCATTTTATGGCTCAATTAAATACTTTTAAAAGCTTGAGATATCATGTAACATAAGTAAATTAAGTGACCAATGTGGGTTATTTTTTACGATCACAAAGAAACCGCGACAGATTCTCCATCAGCAATGTTTTGTTTTGTTTACCCGGTTAGCATATTCACGCATTAGCGTTGATAAAGACAAGACATTTCCCCGACATCTTCCTTCGTAGTTTTGAGCCAGCTGTGTCCGAGTTGGGTCAGTTACAATTTAGTTAATTTGGACCAACGTGTTATTGTTTATCTCTTACCTGTTATGAAGTGTGCGCTGCAAACGCGAGCATTTCTGATGATCGTCTCTGTCCAGTCTTTTCTTTTTACTGCATTCAACCACAAATGTCTTCGTTTTTTCTGAGAACGAGTGTCCGCTGGAATCCTATAAAACTTTAGTTTACTTACACTAACGCTATTCTTCCTATTCTGGCACCCAAACACACAACAAGACGACATTTTACAGCTGTAACGTTTCACCGGTTTCACTAGCTTCCACTGTCTTTAGCTGGCGGCTTTTCCTGTTTTTTTTTTATTCGTATATACATTACATGACAAAAACAGAAACAAAGATATTTACAATATATACAGAAATGGATGACATTCATGATAAAGAGAAAGGAAGTGAGGTATTATATAAAATTAAATGACTTTATAGAGAGGTTAGATTGAAAGAAAGGGCGCTAAAGGGAGACGATCATCTAGAGTTGATGTGTTATGGGTTCTAATAATTTGACTGTGGAGTTGGTTTTTTTGCTGTTTATTAGGGTTATAGACTTAATGTAGCTCTTGATTTCGAGAGTGACTGCTTGGGAGGATGGATTGGTTTTTACTGTATTTGCATCTATGTATGTGCTGTTTGCCAAATAAAATGAATATGTTGGTGATTCTTTCGATTTTATTGTTTTGGTGAGAAAAATGGGTGATAATGTTTCTGTCACAGATAGTTATGGAGATATTTAGTCTTTGGGAGAGGTATTGACTGATCTCTTTCCAGAAAAGCGTGATGAGTGGGCATGAGTAGAATAAGTGTTGAATAAGTTCTGGAACTGTATTTCAAAAGGAGCAATTTGGATCTATGTTCATGAATTTTGAGACTTCGGAGTTTGTGGGGTAGATATTGTGTAGGATTTTGAGATGAGTTTCACGTATTTTATTATTAATGGGGAATTGGTAGGGTAACAGCCATGTTTTATGCCAGTTTATATTATCAAAGGTGGAGTTCCAAAAAAATTTCCCTCTGGGTTGAATGCTTTTCATATTTTGAAATATTTGTCGAATATGTTTATTGTTGCATTTGTGATTAGTGATGTCCAGTCCATTGAGAAAAAGCTTTGTGGTCATTATGGTTGGAGTGAGTTGTGAAGCTCTCATTAAGTGTAATAGTCCATCGGGAATGCATTTTGTAACAGCTTTGTACTGTTTGTACCTGATGGGAAACTGGAACTTAGAAAGAAAGTTATCATAACTTAAAATATTGCCATGAATATCGATTAAATTGGAAACTGTAATTATACCTTTGTTGATCCATGATGATTCAAAGATTGATTTCTTGCGTTTTAATATGTATTCATTATTCCAGATAATGCAGGTGTGTGGGGAGAAGTTGTGGATGTGACAGAGCTTCCACGCTGTAAGGGCTTGTTGATGAAAATTAGAGAGTTTTGTTGGAAGTTTGTTGATATTGTAATTGCATTTTAAGATAAAATGAAGACCGCCTATTTTATTAAATACTAGGTTGGGGATGAGGTACCATATTGAGTTCAGGTTTTTTAATGCCTCTTGAATCCATTTGATTTTAAATGTGTAATTCATATCGATGAAATCCAGCATTTCGATCCCCCCTTCTCCTTTTGAACCTGTGAGAATATTGGTTTTAAGATAATGTTTCTTGTTTTTCCAAATAAAGTTGGTGATTGATTTATTGATGTCCTTTGCAGTACTGTTGTTTACGTAGAGAAAGAGGGCAGGGTAGACAAGTCTTGCGATGCCTTCCGTTTTGGACAGCAAGGCTCGGCCAAAGATGGAAATGTCTCTTTGTAGCCACATGTTAAAAATGGTGGTAGTTTTCTTGATCCGGTGTGCAAAATTTTGTTGTTGGCGTTCGTGGTTATTTTTGCATATGTGGATTCCAAGATATTTTGTATTGTTTTTCACAGAGATGTTGCAAATATGGTGATCCTGTAAACTATACAGAGGTAATATCTCACATTTATGCTTGTTTAGTTCAAGACCAGATGCAGCAGAAAAGTTGTCGATTAAAGAAATTGCAGGGGCGACTTGGTGTTTGTCTCTTAAAAAAAGAGCAGTGTCATCAGCTAATTGAGTAATTCTTATTTCTTTACTGGCTATAGTGATCCCGTTGATGACTGAACTGTTTCGAATATACAATGAGAGTACTTCAACCACTGTTAAAAAAAGAAAGGGTGCAATGGGACAGCCCTGTCGGACCGATCTGTGTATTGCAAATCTCGGCGTAGTGTTCGGATAAAGAATTATGCTGCTGTTAATATTTTTGTAGAGCATTTTGACATTTTTAATAAATTTGGGACCGAAACCAAAAAGTTCAAGCGTTTTAAATAAGAAGAAATGTTCAACAGTATCGAAGGCTTTATAAAAGTCGAGAAACATAATAAGTGCTTCTGTCTCTATGAGATCAGAGTAATCAATCATATCTAAAACTAGTCTTATATTGGAACTTATATGTCTATTTGCCATAAATCCGGTTTGAGTTTCATTAATGATCTCGGGTAATCCTTTCTTTAACCGTTTGGCAAAGATTTGAGCAAGTATTTTGTAATCTGTGTTTAATAAAGTGACAGGGCGCCAGTTTTCTATTAAGAGTGTGTCTTTTCCAGGTTTGGGGATGAGACTTATCGAGCCTTGTGTCATACTGGCGGACATCTCCTCTTGCAGTATGCATTGTTGATAAAGCTTAAACAAATGATTTTCAATAAGGTCCCAAAAATGAATATAAAATTCGGTTGTAATACCATCGTTTCCAGGTGAGCGACCAGTATGCATGTTTTTCAAGGCTTCCTTCATTTCTTTAGTTGTAATGTTTTCGTCACAGTTTTGCTTGAATTGCTCAGAAATTGAGGGAATAATGTTTTGAATGGAGTCCAGGAACTCTTCACTTATTTTGTTTTGGTTTGTTGATTGGTAAATCTGGTTGTAAAAGGAAAAGATAGTGTTAGAAATTTCTTTAGGGTCAGTGGTTATTTTACCATTTGAATTGAGTGATGTGATATTGTTTTTGCTGCGATTTCTTTTTTCTAGAGCAAAGAAATAACTTGTGTTTTTTTCGCCGTTCTCTAACCATTTTGCTCTTGACCTGATAAAAGCACCTCTAGCCAGTTCTATGTAACTCTGGTCTATCTTGTATTGAATTTCTTTTAATCTTAGTTTTTCTTTTTCCAATAAATTATTTTTTGTTAATAAAGCATTCAGTTCTTCAAGTAATTTGTTTTCTTCTTTGTTGTTCCTATATTTTATTTCTTTGCTCCTTTTTATTGCACACTCTCTTACCTTAAATTTGAAGTACTCCCATTTTGAAGTAGGGTTTGCGTTTTGGTCGTCAAGGATCTCGTCGACAAGCATTTTGACTCTGTTACAAAAAATGTCATCTTTTAGCAGGTTATTATTTAGTTTCCAGTATCCGCGTACATTTCTGATTTGAGGGTCAGTTTTAAACTGGATAATAATCATCTTGTGGTCGGTCAGCGGAGCATATGAGTGAGACACCTCTGTAATATACTGAACACATGATGGGGAGGTGAGCCATATATCTATTCTTGACTGTAGAGATCTATTTGCGTTTGCCCATGTATACTCAACAGAATTTGGGTGCAAGTATCGCCATACATCAATAACAGAGAGTTCATCGGAAAAAAAAGTTGAACACTTAAATTTAGCAAGTTGATTGGGTCTTGGTGGATAACGGTCTACATTGTCATCAGGAGAGGCATTCAGATCCCCACCGATTAATAAAAAAGCACCTCTTTGAGTTTCTAGTAGGTCTTTAATTTTTGAGCAAATGAGAATCGAAGTATTTCTTGCCAATGTGGGAGAGTTGTGGTTATAAATGTTGCATACAATAAAAGTTGCGTTATTCATTTTGAGAGTTAAAATAATCCATCTTCCATCTTCAGACAGACTGGAGTCTTTAATATCTGCTTGGACCTTGTTAAAGAGTATGGCGACCCCTGCTGACTGATTGGAAGCATGACTAAAATAACACTGATCGCCCCACTGCGATTTCCAGAATTTTATATCATTTTCTGTGGAATGGGTTTCTTGAAGAAAAAAAAGGTCTGCATTATTTTGTCTACATAACATAAACATTGCTTTTCTTTTGGTAACATCCCTTAAACCCCTTACATTCAATGAAACAATTTTCAAAGAGTTAAATAAAGTTGTCATTTATCAAATCTAGAAGAAGAAATAAAACGAAACAAAAAAGTGGAGGAGGTAAGTTTTGAGTTAACTTACCAAAATTTGCCTAGTAATTCACAGTCGTCTGCCGGCGCGTTGAACACGTCACTTCAGACTAGCTTTCTGATTGGCTGAAATCGGTCCCTGTGGCAGAACCTACCTACGAATAAAATACTCGCGGCCTGGCTGTGTAGCCGACGTGTGACGTCACATTTGTTTAATTTTGCTCTGGCCCAATGACAGTAAAGCTTTGGCCAGTGTTGTGCCAGTTCACAGCTTTTCTGAACTAGTTCAAGTTCAGTTCATACATGCTCAAAGTGAACAGTTCACGTTCGATGTTCTCAATTTTAATTCTGAACTAGTTCAAAT